TCAAGTCTTGAGGTCAGAGAGCTTCAACTTCAAATAATGGTCCTGAACTGGCAGTCTCTTTTCCCCGGCTCTAGCTCTGCCTCCTGAGTTTGGTGAGAGATCGTGTGATCCACGTAGTCACATGATTACTATACATTCCTGAGACGTCCATCTGGCTCCAGAATCAGAAGAAATTATAAGACAAAACTAACTGAGGACAGCAGCACAAGGACAGACCTCCCTCGCCCACACACACCACACAGCACTAGTGGGGTCCTGTCAAACACAGCCACTTGGCTACTCAGCTTTCAGGTCCCTGGCCCTTTTCTAGGCTCAGCAATTAGGAAGCAAACTCGTTACTACCATGAAACTCCCTGAGTAATGGAGGAAAAATAGGACTCAAATCAGGACACACTATCTGTGGCTCAAGAGAAAAGAACCAAAATATGAGAAAATTATGTTTCTAAGGCCTCTTTTCCTTGCTTTTCAGTCGGGATAAGAAATTTAGTATTCTATCTCTGTATCCCGCTATTGTGCTTTTCTTGGAAAGCCTTCTCAAAAACCTGGGAGCTCAATTTGACTTCTTGAAATCAGATGTCTGTCACCATCTCTTGCCCTGCTTCAGCCCTGTCCCGGTGCCTCTGAGATAGAGACATCCTGCCCACTTTCCTATCCAAACGTTCAGCTGCTATTAGCTCAAAGAAGGACATTCTGTGTACTCGGCCCCCTGTCCTATCAAGGACAACTTTGTAATCCTCTGAACTGTGGGCTCTATAGGCTGAGACACAGGCTGTGAGCAATGGCACAGATGTTCAGGCTCAGGCCCAGGGCTAGTCCCAGACTGGTTATCTGTAAAGCAAGGCTATAATGTGTTCCTGGAACACCCGGGAGATGTTTTTTGGAGCTGGCACGAAGCTCTTTGTGGAGCCCCGTAAGTTGGTCTTTTTCTTTATTTCTGTGGATAACTTGAGTCCTGAGACTAGAGCTACCACCCAGTTTATATTACAAATTACAACTAGTAGATTCGCTTACATCTCAGAGACAGAGTGGAGCAGAAGGAAGGGGGCCTGCACAAGGACACTGAGCTGCTCACATGCTTCTGTGACTACTTTATTTTTAATATACAGACGCTAAAACTCTAGTCCTCATTTATTTCTGAAATCTTCAGGTCAACCTAGAAAACAGAGGAATCTTTTTGAAATTATACTAGTAAATGTAGCACTGGGGGGAAGGGAGGCTGTCACAGGCGCGCTTGGGCTCAAACTCCCCAGGGTGTGGCTTGTTTCCTACACTTACTTCGGCTAAGCTGACTAGTCAGCATGCCTCCTGACAGAGCACAAACATCCGTCTGCTAGGAAGGCTTTGGAGACAGGTGGTTAACCCGGTGAGAATAACCAGGTAGAGCAAACTTTAGGGCTTAAGTGAAATCCCAGACTGGCAAAGAACCGTGAAGTTCTGAGTGACATGTGTTATAGATACCACAGTTCTAGAGAACCAATGGGATCATAAAGAGCGTGTAGAGAGGGCGGTCTCATCTCTCTGCTGTTTGCCCGCATGTAATTTTAGCACTGTATGAGTGTCTGAAGAGAATGGCTGAAAACAAAATTAATAGTATTGTCCAAGTAAATACATTTGAAAGAAAGCGTTGAAATACAGTCATATTCGTGGAATAATAATAGATTATTCTCAAAGATAAACAATGAAATCTTTCCTTTAAATGTTATCTTCAAATATTTGTTTAAATCAAATGCAAAGTAGACTAAGTTCCATACGACAACTACATGGAGTACATTCTACTTATTTAAAAAGAAAGAGTCAGTTCAAACCAAATAGCTGTTTTCTTTGGTTGCCATGCCAATCAGAGGCCAGTGAATTGATTGAATAAACTTTTCTTCCAATTGTTTTAAACATATGGATCTTAACTTAGGGAGAGAGCCTGAGAAAATGTTTTACTAAATCAATGCTCTGTGTTCAATTTGAAACCCCAACAACTATGTTCAAATCTCAGCATGTGTGTGCATGCATGTCTCCAGACATCCACCTTGCCAGCTATATTATAATATTCATGCTATTCAGAAATAATCTCCCTATCCCAAATGTTAATTGATGATAATCTCTTGATGCATTTAGGTTTTAAAATCCCACATAAGCAGCTGGGCAGGAGGATTGAGTGTGCTGTTAGCCTTAACTACTTAAAGAGACCCTGTCTCAAACAGCAAAAACACAAGCAAGCTTTCATTGTCCAACTTACTCAAACCGAATCGTGCTCTTGAATAACTGACAAGATGGGTTTGAGTTTGCATTGGTTAGTTTGATTTTTTTTTTCAATTGAACCAATTTCTAACTCCTAACTCTCTTGAAAATCAGCCACAATATATCTCAAGCCACAAACAGGATAATGAACAAGAAATGCCATGCTCCTGGAAGGAGACAAGTAATGAAGACTTGTGGTTTCCAGCCGTTAGTGCTGGGGTTATCAGTTTTACTGTCAGTGACTTCAGTGTGTAAAAAAAAACAAAACAGGAAATAAAAAAAAAGCAAAGATTTTCTCATGAGGATTGAGAGTGAATATTCTAAGAAACTCTTTTAAAACAGAAAGAAAGAAAGAAAGAAAGAAAGAAAGAAAGAAAGAAAGAAAGAAAGAAAGAAAGAAAGAAAGAAAGAAACCAAATCTTATCTAGAGCTAGAGCCAAAATAGTCAGAATCTTGGAAAGTTGTCTCCTTCCCTGAGTGCCAGATCCCAATCTTTCATTTGAGCTTCTTGATGAAGAAAAAATAAAAAGAATTATGATGTAGACATGAGGAAGCCTTCTCAGGACACCTTGTTCTCTTGGGCTCACCCAGATCCACCATGATCTAATTATACCGTGGAGATCAGCAGGCACCTTCCCATTAACAACCACCCCTCTCAATCAACCGGACCAACTGATTGGTCAGAGCTTTACTACCATGGACCCCATGGCTAAAACTCAGACCCAGACTCTGGATAGAGCACTAGAAAAGTCAATTCTTTTCACTTGCATATGCACTACCAAGATTTTCTGTTTAGTAAAAGACCTGCTGTCTCGATCATAATCCATAAGAGATAAAGTACATTGTAATTCAACATAGTTTTCATTTGATACCAACAACCCCAGCTCTTTATTAGCAAATACCATGGGCTTATGGGCTCTGTTCATGAGAGAAATTACTGTTGAAAGTCAGAAATGAGTTTTAGGATTAGAAATCTGTTCACAGGTCAGTAGGTAAGAACAAGGCTCTTTCTGTTGTGGTTATTTAAAGATAACGTAGAATCCAAGTCTCTGTGGACACAAAATTATCACAATGCAGAAGCTTCGATCAGGCGGTATGAGAATTATTACTGTCTTTCTCAAAGTGTCAAAACTGCCCGTTTTAAGGAAAGAAAAAAGTGCATACCTAGAATAGTGCTGGGTTATGGTCAAAGCAAAGTATGAGGATCCATTTTTGGGACCAGCGTTCATTCCACAGCCCCTCTTAGAATAAAGTAAAAAATAGGTTTAGCTTGTTCTATTTACTTTCTGAGAATGATAGCTGTTATCTGCTGATGATGTATGTCTCCAGTCCTAGCACTCAGGAGACAGAAACAGAAGAGTCGTGAGTTCAAGATCATCGCTGACTATACAGGAAGTTCAAAGCATGAGACCCTGTCTCCAAAGAAATAACTCCAAGGAGGTAGCAAACACCTTTAGTTTCACCACTTAGGAGGCTGAGTGGGGTTAAAGGATCAAGGGTTTGATCAGCCTGATATACAGTTAAAGACTATATCAAACAAACATAAATAAACAAAACACTCCAATTGTATAGTGGGCAGGCCCTTGGGAAAAGAATCAGTATCCACCCAAATGGAGAGAAATCCAGCCTTTCCTTCCAGTGCAATCTGTTCCAGTCTACAGAACAGGGAAAACACCTCACAGCAACTCCAACTGCCACTCTGAGTTTGAGATGATTATGCAGACCTTTCTAGAAGTATGTGCTTTTAACTGACACAATGCAAAGTATGAGCACCTTCAATAATCTCCTCCAAGGGCTACCATATTTAAAATTAACAAACTGACCCAGACAGATATTCAGCCTGACCTCAGTTGTCCAACTAACTAACAAATCATAGATAACTAAAACCCAGCTTGGTTATTAAAAACTGTTTGTATGTGCACAGGTAGACATGTGTGTGCAGATGCACACACACATGAGCACAAGGAAGCCAAAGGACAACACTGAGTATTAGCCTCAGAAACACTACCTATCTCATTTGAGACAGAGTCTCTTGTTGGCTTGGAGTTCACCAATGAGGCCGGACTAGCTGGTCAGCAAGCCCTGAAGATACCGTCTCTGCTCCCCAGTGCTGAGATAACAAACAATTGCCACCATGCTGGCATTTTTATGTGGGCTCTAGAAATCAAACTCAGGCCAAGCAAGCACTTCACCAAATGAGCTCTCCAGCCTTCTTTGGGTTGGGGTTTGGGTTTGGTTTAGTTTGATATGGGGTATCATATAGCCAAGACTGCGCTGCTACTCGAGGGTAACCTAGAACTCCTGATCCTCCTGTTTCCACCTTCCTGCTGGAATCAGTGATATATAGCACTGTGGTGGGTTTATGCAGCACCAGGGATCACACCCAGGGCTTCGTATTAGACCTCAGTTCTAGAAATTTCTTTATAGTTGCTACACCACATCTCTCTTTGACAGACTTTGAACCACATGCAAATTCTCCCGGTGAGTATCTAGCTTGAAGGAGCTAAGATGGGAAAACTGGAGGAAAGGAGAAATGGGCAGTGTGAGCCCAGCATAGATTACTTCTGGTTTAGCATTATCCTATCTCCTTTCAGCTCTTTATTAGAAACCAAACTAACTGTCCCTTCTTTCCTCTCACCTTGCCCATACATCTATGAAAGGCTATCAGGGATACCACTAACAAGGTATAGAGTGTTCTAGATTCTAGACAACACCAGTTTAATTCTCCTAAGGCTGTAAATTATCATCTCAGTTGATTATATTTTCAGAAACTCAGCCTCCTACCACACCATCTGTTTTCATTATGAAAAATGGAACGAATGTTGCCTGTCTGGTGAAGGACTTCTATCCCAAGGACGTGAATATAAGTCTCAAGTCATCCAGGAAGATAGCGGAATTTGACCCTGCTATAGTCATCTCCCCCAGCGGGAAGTACAGCGCTGTCAAGCTTGGTCAGTATGGAGATTCGAATTCAGTGACATGTTCGGTTCAGCACAACAGTGCAACTGTGCACTCGACAGACTTTGAACCACATGCAAATTCTCCTGGTGAGTATCTAGCTTCAAGGAGCTAAGACGGGGAAACTGGAGGAAAAGAGAAGCAGGCAGTGTGAACCCAGCGTAGATTACTTCTGGTTTAGCATTATGCTGAAAAAAAAAAAAAGGGGCGCTCATCTCTGGCTAAGAAGGAATTGCTCTGCGTCTCTCCTCTTATTTAATCCCCTTCCCTCATCTTCACCAACCACTGTCTTTTTCATATAAATGTCTGGCACCAAAGGTATCATTTTAATCCAAAAACCCCCACAAGGGTGATTGTCTTATCATTGATTGAAAATCTTTGTTCTCCCTACGGATTAGAGAGCATCTTGAGGTTGTCCTGATGATGCCAAAAGTCCCAAATCGAAGGAATCCTGTCTGTATACACAGATATATGACCCTCTTGTCCTCAGTTTACCAACCCAGAGTCTCCTCCTTTTGCCTCTTGCTTGCCAACTTACTCTTGACCACCCTTGTTTTTTCTAGATGACATAAAACCACCAGAACAGGAAAGTGCCACACAAGCTTCAGAGACTTGCCATGGCTCAAAAGGTTAGTTCAAACAAAGTGGTTAAAACAAATTCTGTCATTGTCACCTGAGACCTCAAGGCATCAAACTTCAAAAGAAAACAAAAAACCATACTGAGCCCACTGGTTCCCCATCTCCATCCCAGCAGAGCTGGCCAGGCTGTGAGCCGGTGTTTCCCTCCTGTTTGGGTGGGCACAGGAGCCTGAGGGCTCTGAGTGCAGCCTGGCACCGTGCTGGGCGTACAGGCCAGGAAGAGCTATGGCCATTTGGAGCAGACTGGTGACAGTTGTTGGCACTGTAGAGAGAAATCTGGCCCCTCCTGAAGCCGCTGTTCTACTTTTATTCCATCATAGTTCACAGCAAGGATGTAAACATGATGTCCCTCATAGTGCTGGGGCTACGGATGCTGTTTGTCAAGAGTGTCGCCATCAACTTTCTCTTTACTGCCAAGTTACTCTTCTTTTAAGGTAAGAATTGCTCACTTCGTATTCCCAACTCCACCCTAATTATGCTATAAATTGGGAAGTATGTTTGGAAATGGTAACAAACAAGGAAAGTGTGGTGGTGCCGTCCCATAATTTTAGCACTTGGGAAGCTAAGGTAATAGGATTGATGTGAGTTCAAGACCATCCTTGATATATAGCATCAAGATGGCCAGGGCTATGCAGCAAGACCTTGTTTCAAAAGAAAGAAGAGGGAGGGAGAGAGGGACGGAAGGAGAGAGAGAGACCATGCTAGACTTGCCTATGAAGACTTTCCTGGGCTGGAGAGATGGCTCAGGGGCTAAGAGCACTGACTGCTCTTCCAGAGAACAAGAGTTCAATTCCCCGCACCCACATGGCAATTCACAATCATGTGTAAGTCAAGTTCCAGGTATCTGATACCCTCTTCTAGCTACCAAAAGCACTACACACACATGGTCCACAGACACACGTGTGAGTGAAACACCCATGCACATAAATAAAATAAAATAAAATACTCCTCCTCTTATTTTTCCCAGTGTTTCCAAATGTTTATCAATTTCTGTTCAAGGAATGACCCAAAATTTTGAGGCTTGGATTGATCTCTAAGTACAGCCAATAATTCCCAAATGGGTATCTAGCCCCACCTGCTACTGCACTGGCAGTCTGGAGACCACAGGCAGCACAGCAGTGTAAAGAATGTTGCCCTAGGCATCAGAAAACCGAGTTTTAGTCCTGACCTTGTGATTAGGTCCCTGATTCAATGGCCAGTTTGCTTACCCTCTCTGGGCCTGGGTTTAAGAATGGTTACAAGAAAGCCAATGGGTTTGAATACTATACTGACCAGCAGAACCACTGCCACGTTCCACAATTGATTAATGATGTCTGTAGTGGTGCAGCATAGTGGGTACCCACCATCCCAAAATGGCATCACCCCTGCAACCCCTTCCAGAGCTCAGGGTCTATGATTCTGAAATGACTTTCCTTGACTTGCAGGCTGGCTGGCATGAGGAGACCATGATTCCTGAAAGAAACCAAAAGCTTACAAAGATGCTATAGCCAAGGCTTCCAACTCCTAAGTGCTTCAAACTGACCCGTCACCATTGCATCTAAAGGGCTGCTAGGAAAACCAGCTTTTCTGTGACAGCAGCAAGCCAGCTAATCCTCCAGTCCGGTAGAAAAGCAAAAGCCCTGGGGAGTGGGTTTGTGGGCCTGGCTCTACACGCTGCTTTATAAAAGCATAGAAAGCTATGGAAATATAGACTTGTTTTCCTTTACCCGTATAACTGTTATACTTTGAAAATGGTTTCCCTCCGTCTTTATTTACCCAGAACTAGAAAGTGGGGAGAAGCAAATACCAGTTTAATAACCCGGGGGGGAAGTGGTCTTGGGAGAGAGAACATGTGTCATGTTAGCTAAACACGGAAAGCTGCCCACTCCTAGCCAGCGCCCTCCTCCCTCCCCTGAGGCCAGTATGGCCCACTCTCTGTCTTTGCTCCGTTGCCATGCAGGAGTTTTCCCAGCAGCACTAGGGCGCCAATGACTTCAGCACTTTCTGTTTCTCCTAATACTTTATGCTCATGTTTGGCTCCTGAAGGCTCTCCAAACAAACAATAAAGCTTCTACAATCACATCTAATCATTCTCTGCTCTATTACCAAAGATGAAAGTAAAATACAGAGAGGAAGGATACCTCTTTCTGTGAACTGACTTCACGTGCACAAACTGGCTAAGTCCCAGGCGCAGTACTGAGGGTACGGAATTGCGACCTGTGCCCGGCCTGCCAACCACTCACTGGGCAGCAGTTTTGGAAGCAGGGACAAGAATGTGACCTCTCTCTTTTTCCCTGTGAAGGTAGCAACTTTATTGTCTTTTTCTGGCCTGTCTGTGCCCTGGGCTTTGACATCACTGGGCACAGATCCTTTCACCTTGGTCTTTGATGTTGGTGCTTTCCTGCCTTTCTTCTCGGGCCTGCCTCTGCTGCATTTGTTAAGCTGCAACCTCTGCAGTCACTCACTGTGGGCTGCCTGGGAAGAAGGCACTCAGCTCTGTTGAGCTATTAGACTGCTGGAAGCCAGAGTGGGCATGTCAGTCACACCACAGCTTCCTGACCCCAGGCCTGAGGGGCCTGTCTGGGGGACTAGGCCCTGGTTTCCTGCTCTGTTAGCGCAGCAGCACCTTCAGTGTGGCATGCAGCTCTGTTCAGCCCAGCCCGGCAAGGCCGCAGCTTTATTGGTAGCACTAAGGTAGGAGCGCTGTGGTTTCCTCAGCTACTACAAGAAGTATAAAGCAGGGACCGTGGTGTGACATGAGCCATTACCCCTGGAAATTCCCCTGCCGCCATCAGCCACAGACTCCAAACCAAAGGCGGTAACGATGCTGGGAGGCCCTGGGTTCAGGAATATCTAGAAGGATAAGTCAGATCTACCCAGGGAACAGCAATGACAGCATTCCACACGTCACCTGGTACGTATAAAGACCACCTAGTCCCAGAACACTCGCTTCTGCTCCTGGCTGTGACATCAGAATGCTATTCTGAAGTTGTTGAAAAGAGCGCATCCTCATTTTTCAAATGGAACAAAACATTTGCCCTGCCCACCCCACCCCCAGGAGAAAAGGGTTTGCACTTTGTCAAAAGTCATTCAGTGAGGCAGATATACTGCTAGGAACGGAACCAAGGTCTCAAGACTGTCAGCCCAAAGTTACTGTCCCCTGAGCTCACTGCATCACCAAAATGAGGACGATGTGTCAAGGACCGCCTCTTGTCAGCAACAAATGAGATGACTCTGACCCAGCAGCCAGAAAAAAAAAAATCCTAGCTCATCACGGGATTATAAATTTCTTCCACCAAAATGAACCTCCAAAAGTTTTAAATCGATATTTTAGTTAGCAAACAAATAAAAAGTTTGATTATAAGATTTTCCTACAGGGATGTCATTATCTTCTTGTTCAGATCCACCACCACCCGCATTACTCTCTCACGTTCCTAACCCCTCCCACTGG